CGGTGGAGCTATTCTGTCCTTGGAGCCGCCAACGGGCCCACAGGCGCCCATTTCGCCGACCAAGGCTTCCAAGAGCGGCGGACTCGTCTCCATGGAAAGTCTGGATCAGGTGGACAAGCCCATTCTGACGTACGAGCAGAGCTCCCAGGTGGAGAGGAAACTGTCCTTCTGCCGGGCCTGGCCCTACTGGTTGATGGATGAATGGATGCATCAGCACCAGCAATTGCTGCAGTATTTGCATCCTGCCTACGCGCCTCAGCTGGCCACGTACCAGTTGGCGATGAATGAAGAGGAGGAGGAGGAGAATACTGAGAACCAGTCCGAGCTGGAGGCTTTTCTGCTGAGTCGCCAGGACTCTTAAAAGGCCGTCTTCTACGACCCGTCTGTCTGTTTGTCGACTGGGTCGGGCACTTCTGTCCTTGGAGCCGCCGACGGGCCTACTTGCGTGCTTGAGTTTGGCGCCCATTTCGCCGACCAAGGCTTCCCAGAGCGGCGGCTCGTTGCATGGAGAGTCTGGAGCAGGGGGACGACCCAAGGCTGCCAGACGACCAGAGCTCCTAGGCGGAGAGGAGACCGTCCGGATTCCGGGCCTGGCTGATGCCTGATTATATGGATGAATGGATGCATCAGCAGCAGCAATTACTGCATTATTTGCATCCTGCCTACGCGCCTCAGCTGGCCATGTACCAGTTGGCGATGAAGGGAGAGGAGGAGGAGAACATCGAGAACCAGTCCGAGCTGGAGGCTCTTCTGCTGCATCACCAGGACACGAACAAACCCGTCTGCTACGACCCGTCCGTCTGTTTGTCGACTGGGTCAAGCTCTTCTGTCCTTGGAGCCGTTGACGCGCCATCTGGCGTGCTTGAGTTTGGCGCCCATTTTGCCGACCAAGACTTCCCAAAGCGGCGGCTGGTTGCATGCAGAGTCTGGAGCAGTGGGACGAGCCAAGGCTGACTAGTTGATGCATGCATCAGCAGCAGCAATTACTGCATTATTTGCATTCTGTCTACGCGCCTCAGGTGGCCACGTACCAGTTGGCGATGAAGGAAGAGGAGGAGGAGGAGAACAGTGAGAATTAGACGGCGCTGGAGATTCTGGATGATTGTTGATGTATAAATGGATGCTGGTTGATGGAGGAATGGATGATGGATGACGAATGATGGATGAATCGATGATTGCTGATGGATGATAGTTGATGGAGGAATGCATGAAGGTTGATGTATGAGTGGATGATGGTTGACGGATGAG